GAATGACAAACTTTTAAAGTTTTACTATTCCTTCTTACTCCATTTCAGTTCTTAAACCTTGCTTTGCATCTTTAAATGTGTCTAACCATGACACAATGTTTAAACCAATAACTACAGCATAACTGAGCATCTATCTATGTGACAGGCCGTTGGCTAACTGGCATCTCGTAGGATGCCGTTGTCGTTCATTACTGCCGTGATATCTGACAGCTGCAATCCTCTCTTAAAAACCACGCGCTCCCTTCAGCAGGTGTGGGCATTAGCCAGAACAGGTCTGAGGAAGCCAAACAGCAGAGCTCAGCGGGAAGATCCCAGGCTCTCACTCTCATCCAAACGACAAGCCACAGAAAAGCTGCTGAGGCCGCAAGCAGCCCGGGAAGCTTTTCATCAGGAAAAACAAAGGTTTTCTGAAGCGCTAGTCTTTTTTTTGACTGAAAACCATCTTTTTAAGCAGCCTGGAACAACATAATGAAGGGTGCTGGGTGTTTCTTGCACCTGCCAGGAGGATTTGTGCGGAGAAGGTGTTGGCGGCGACGAGCAGGCCGGGCAGCAGGGCGCCGGCGTGGCTCTGGTTGAAGCCCACGAAGGCCGAGTTCCACTGGATGGAGGGGAAAGTGGGCAGGTGACCGGTGGAGTGAAAGAACTGAGTCGCGGCCAAGGCCCACATCAGCACAGGAGCCCAGGGCACCCAGAAACCATCTGCAGACAGAGACACGCCCAGAGAGACTTACACACCATTCCTATACCCACGGGGACACATCGAGAAACGCAACCTGATCTCACACCGATTCAGACACTGAATATGTCAACGTGCGTGCGTGTAAGGGCAAAGCACTGACAGACACAATGGAAAACGACGTACACAAGAGACATAAACATAGTTAGCGGCATGCTATGCACGCAGATGCACACACGTTGAAGAACATGATAAGAAACACACACGTTGAGAGAGGTCCTCACCTGTGTGGTCGCCTGGAGCTGCGAGAGAAGAGGCAGCAGAGTGCATGTACAGGATGGCTGCAGACTCCAGCAGCAGGAGCAGGAAGGACAGTGCCATACCCTCGGGGTGCAGCATGGCTAGGCCCAGCCCCAGGAGCCCAGACACCAACAGCAAGGGAGCCGAGTACACTGTGCCCAGGCCGTATGCCTCCACTGCTGGTCGCCCGTCCCCCTCCTGGCCGGTGACCTCCTCTTCCAGAGATCTGCGCATGCGCTGGTAGATCTGTGGGATGAGGTGGTGCAGCTCAGCCTGGGGGCTCACCCCCGTGCTGGCCCTGTACCTGGGAGGCACCATGCTGCTCGGGGAGGCTTGCCTGGGCTTCAGGTACACTGTCAAGGGGTTCAGGAGAACCAGAGCGACCCCGGTTCCCAGCAAGGCATAGGCAGCCCTGGGGAGGACCAGCAGGGACAGGCTGATGAGTTCCTGGAGGTTGCGGAAGCTCTCTTCTGGGGTGGAGCTGACGGCCCAGTACATTACCACCGACATGGTGACCAAGGGCAGCACCCAGCGAGCCGTGAACACAGCTGGGCTGGGGGAGTTCAGGTTTCCATAGTGACGTAGCCAGCTACGCACAAGGTATGCCCAGGCTACCAGAGAGGCCACTGACAGGAAGTAGCGTAGGTTGCGCAGTTGGCCATCCTGAATCCTAGAAAGCGGGGCCAGGAAAGGTGAGGGCTCGCAGGACCCTTGCTCCTCACGGCAGCCATGGAAGGAAAGAGATAGGTAGAGGGATACCACCAGGAAGCCCAGGCAGCCCAGCAGTGTAAGGCTCTCTCTGCGGATGGACGATTGAGAGGGGTAGGGCTTCTGGGTATCGGGCGTCAGGGACAGCAGCTGCCCATCCCAGTTGAGACGGACAGGGATGGAGATGCCCAGAGTGAAGAGGAGAAAAGTGGCTACTCGACCTTCGGCTATTACATAGCTGTCAGAGAAGAGAGAAGCACACCGAAGGAGAAGGATACACAGTGGAACGGAGAGGTCAGACAGCCCCCTCAGGAGGGCTCGTGGGATGGGTTTTGCCTTTTTGGAAGTTCCGTTCCTGTTCATCTGATAGGCTTTCCAGAAAAATGCCAGCTGGGAGACCAGGGCTGCCCCGCAGAGAGCCCACAGCAGGTCCACCTGGCTGTAGAAGACAAGTTGCCACACAGCCACAGAGCCACCAGCCACTGTGCCCAGCACTACAGAAGTCCACAGGGGATTCCAGTCTCCCCTCCCAATGACTCCAGCCAGCTCTGAAATGGCACAGCACAGTAAACAGGTGGCTGCCAAGACAGCGACGCCAGACGCCATCTTTAAAGGGTGGAATCGTGCCCAGGAGGCACGGCACGTCTCCCTCACCTCACTCAGATAGCTCCGGAGGGAGGAGAGCAGCTCTTTTAGCCTGGGAGCGAACTCCGGGCTGGTGGGGGAAGTGGGATTTTCCCCCAACAGGGCACTGTACTCTGCTGACAACAAGGAGAACTCTCCCCGCAGGCGAGCCAGACTCTCTAGTGGAAGATCTTTGGCAATCTGGGAGTAAGTGTCCAGGAACCGATTGACCTGCAAACAGGAAAAAGCCTCATTAGAGTCTCTCACGTAGCACTGCATTCCAGATGGAATTAGTTAAAAATATATTCTAGCAGACTGCACTGTACATTTTTAACAGAAAATGTGGGGGAGTTGTCAACCATCAATTTCTAACAACTTTAATGGGCCACGACTTGCCAAGATTAATGCATCATCGTGCTCCATCTTTGGGATTGTTTTTGCACTGCCAGCTTTACCGCATCAGCAATTCAACTATGAGAAGCTGATGAAACAACCATCAATTGTTGCCACACAGGGGCCTAGTACTCACCAATGGTCACTGATGCAACAGAACAAAGTGGTGTGTGTGTGTGTGTGTGCAACAACTCAGGTGGTCTCACCATCAGTGGGGCCCAGTCCCCTTTTGTGACAAATCAAGATTTTGCATAGACCACCCCCAATGGATACATCAGTGCGTGATGGATGAGTAGGCTCACAGAACAATATACTAACTACTGTGCACACCAGACCAATCGATGGGGAGCTCCGAGTGTGATGGTTTGGACAGGAGTATCTTTTTTGGTCGGTACAAAAGTTCACTTACAGTGGCTGATGTAAAATTGACTGTGCAGCAGTACAATGACCCTGGGACCTCACTTGCTACCTTGCTCAATTGGACATGTAATAACATTCCAGCAGGTTAATGCTCAATCTCATGTTGTTAGTGTAACAATGACTTTCTTGTGAAATAAGAATGTGACTATGACTTATGGGGCAGAGATATGCCCCATTGAACATCTGCAAAATGAGCTGGGCTGATGTGTGACATCTAGGGCTCAGAGACCAGTGAACAGCCATAGGCTGAATGAGTCAGAATCCCACAACACAGCATCTACAGACTGGTGAAAAGTATGTATTGCGCACGTACAGTGTACATTTCTTCCAGCTGTGGCCACATAGGCTACTAGCTTGTAATTTTCGCAGTACAATAGAAGACTAATATTAATCATCATAATGAATATACCCATGTCCTGTCTGTTCAATAAAATGTCGGTGCACTTGGTACAAAAAAGTTGTCATTTTCCTGATTATTATGTGAATTTGTTGCAGTTATAAGCAGTAAATTTTTATGCTCGGTATATAATTATAAATGCAACATTTCCTACAGTGTCAGACACATATACTATAAATCTAAATTTCTGCCAAAAAACTAAGATACGTTCAAGTAAAAAGAACCAAATACATTCTCTTACAGATGTAATTTCTAAGGATCTTGAAACAATTTTTTTTAATGTAAAATATTGATTATTCTGACGAGGTAAATTATCACTGCCTCTCCGACACAGTGGGAGGGAGTACCTGTTTGGCGTTGATCCACAATGCCTGTGCCTCGGCCAGTTGTGCAGAAGTGCCGTTTGCCAGGGCGTCCCGTGTAAAGAGGAGGCTGATCACTTGGCCAATGTTGCTGTAGGGGATGGGGATGCCCAGTAGTAGTGCTAAAGTGGGCACCAGGTCAGTCTGAGGAATAACTTCAGGCTCCGCCTAGCAATGACATGGAAGGACAACTGAAAACATGCCCTGGATTTGCAGCTCACGGCACAAAGCGTGCCTGCTTTGTCTTATATGTAATAAGAACGAGACATGTGAAAGGAAGCCATTTGTTCCATCTAGTTTATTTTTTTCAGTTATTAATTGACCCAAGGATCATATCCAGCTGTTTCTTGAAGGCAGTCTCAAGAACACCGGAAGCCTTCGGATAGAGATTCCCAATTCCAGGAATAAAGGTTCCTGTTCTCGGCTTTAAATGAACTTTCCTGGAGTTTTCATTTGTGTTCTCTAGTTTGTTTCACTGACGATTCCGAACAAGTCCAAATTAAGTTTCATGCCACCTTTGAGAATTTGAAATACCTTTATTAAAAACCCTCAGTCTTCTCCATTCCAAACTAAAGATTCAGGTCTTTCAGCCAGTCAGCAAAGGACATTCTTTGGATCCATGGGATGTACCTGGTTGCAAATCTCTGAACTGCTTCCAGAGGAGCGATATCTTTTAATCAAAACTGCACTCAGTATTCAAAACTGTTCTGACTTTTTACTAGTGCATTGTACAATTTCAACATAACATCCTACAATTTAAATTCCATGCTTTTAACTGTACAGTATATACTATGTGTTTTTACTTGCTTACCCTCATTGCCTAGAAAATGAATGTTGCGTCTACATAAACACCTAAGATGTGTCTTCAAGCTCATCTTGCCATTTTATATTTGTAATTTTTGATACCTGTGTGTAACATTCTGAATGTACGCAATAAATGTCATCAGTCAATAAATGTCATGTGCTTAAGGGTCCAGTCCTGAATTTGGTCTAAGTTTCATTGAATTTAATTTGCTGATTTTAGTGTCTAAACTTCAAAGCTGACTCTTCAACTAACTCAACCAGGAACAAGAACTTTGCTACAAATTAGGAAGAGCAGTGGCCCTGGTACAGACCCTTGTAGTACCCCACTCACTTATTATCTATACCCTGTGTTTCCCGTCTATTAAACAATTCTCAGAACAGGTGCATGCATTTTCATGAATGTTTTCTGCTTGAATTTACTAGTTAATATTTTTTTTTTTTTTTTTGAATTTTTTTCGGCAAGGTTAATTTTCCCCTTTCCCAGGTTTTTTTGTATCCACTGCTTGTTCAAAAACCCCTTAAAAAACCGACCAGGCAAAACCAACCTTTTACAATCTAACCCTTGGGATCTTATTGCCACAGACGGTCCTCCAGTTTAGTTCCATTGTTTGTTTCCATAACCATGCCCATAATAGTATAAATAATTATGGTTCTATAATTTCTTGGCTCAGCTTTGTCATCCTTTTATGGATGGGTCATGATTCCTATGTCAAGAGATTGCTGGAAGACTTTTGTTATCCCTCTCTTCCTTGAGTACAATTGCAACACCACCGAGGCCTGGATATTTCTGGATGCTAAGTGCTTCTGGCACATGCACTGCTTCTGCCTCTTCTATGGCAATCTTATGTAATGTAGAACTTTGCCTTTTCTATTCCTGAAGCATTCTCAGTTCCATCTTTGGTAAACAACTGAATGAAGTTTTAATTTTATACATTAGCCATTTCCACCTGATCAAAAAGATGCCCATCTTTAACTTTATGTTGTGAAATGCTTTAACCGGATTTTGGAACTATACTATGTATGGAAAGGAGTACAGTGCCTTCCAAAGTGTTCATATTTTAGTTTTTGATTTGTTTTTGCTCCTTTTACAGACATGTAAAAGTATCGGTTTGAGCACATCAGTTTTGATTAAATGTACACTTTTTTAAAAAGCAGAGAACACGTGATTTTTTCCCTCCTTCTAGTGCCAAATTTTGCTAAGAAATAAAGGTACAATAAAATCATCAGTGAAGGAAGCACTGAAACTGCTCAATGACAACTACTGTACTGGCACCAGAGTGGGACTTGTTAAAAGAATGGTCCTTGTAATATATTATTTAGTTTTATAATTAAGGATGAACAAACTTCAGATAGATCATGGACAGAAAAATAGACATTTACAAATGTTTAGAAACGATGAAAAAACCGATAGCTCAAAAAAAAAACAAGAGCTCTGACAAAAGGCCCCCGCCCTCTCTTGTCATAAGCCCTAACTTGTCAGCTACGAGAGCAAAAAAAGAGATGGAGGATTGTTCCTTATTTTCTGATACCCTGTCGAGAAAGGCAGCTGCTCCTACCTGCCCTTCAGAAGGGGGGAATAGCTGGCTGGGGCTGTACAGGAAGAGAGCGGCGTCGGTCTCCTTCAGGCTCTCCCCACCATGGTCGCCGGTGTCCGTCATCCCATGGTCTCCCATGACAACCAGCAGGGTGTCGTTCTGCAGCCGGCCAATCACGTCCCTGCAACCCACAGGCCCCAGAGAAACGCATCAGGACCCTGCCACCCCGAAGACGAGGCGCTTCCAAAACGTCCCAGATCGTTTACCTGGGCCCTGGTCATTCTCTTCGAGCCGTCAGTGGCAGACAACATCAACAGTTAAAGCTTGGATACCGAGGAAGTTCTCTTGCATTTGCTTCAGTTACGGCAACACTATAATACTACAGAGTCAAGCTGTGTTTGGTTTTTTGCTTGAGTCGCTGCATTAAAAGGGGGACTGAAGTCCCAATTTCTTAGACCGGTTATTAAATCTCTGCAACAAAATAAATTCATTGACGGTATGGTATTGAAAATTAAGCACAAAATCGTGAACTTTGTGAAAGCAATGTAAGTTGCCATATATCTTACAAATTTGCATTCGAGTTCTCACATTCGACACATTCGAATTGTGACGTGATGCGGCCCTTCCTGCTCACTAGTCACTGTGATGCCTAATGTAATATGACGTATGAGCCAATAAGTACAGGTTGTGCAGCAGACAGTTCACTGCAGAAGTGTTCCTAAGTGATCTGCAAGCAGAGTTCACAAATAAGTTGTATTTCTTGGCAAAACTGTCCCGAAGTCGAGAGCAATATTTCTATTGGATTAAAAGAGATTCTTGTTTACAATGTAATAGGGCAGCTTCAGGTCACCCGAGGTTTAGTTGCCTCATTCTGAATCGCAGAATATGGTGCTGCGCCAAAGAGAGAATGGAGAAAAAAGTCTGCATCTGAGGATTCGTTGAGAGGCACATTACATACACTGCTTTGCTAACTTGTTGGGCATGTTAGACAGAATCAGGTTTTGTAATATATATTTACTCACTCACAAAGCCTAGTGTTTTCTTACTGTTACAACAATTTTTACTCATTTACAAAATTACAGAGTACATTTGTACTAGAAGAAATCCAGTCATTTACCGATTTGCAATTCATATCGCTCAGTATCTTCAATATCCTCATCACAACAATTCAGGAACAACATGAGCAGACAATATAAAGTATAGCAGTATCTAGTTCACCATATTTACCAATCAGATCTATTTAGGTCATTGCAAGATGTCACCCTTAAAATCATGAGTACTGTTATGGATATTGTTTCTCTCTACACATCACTAAAGCTACGAGGCTACTGTTTGCATTACAAAATACAGGTCTATCAGGATACCACAACAAGGCTATATAGCCATAAACTAGTAGCATGTCACAGCTGCAATGTCTGACCAATTAGACTGAATTGTATTAACAGGTTTAACTTCCTATTCGAGATTTCCATGTGTACATGTGCTTTAATCACATGTGCCTCAAGTTGTCAAGTCCCTTCTTTACTTTGTAAACCAGCGCCATCTACTGGTCATCTGTGGTTTACAAACTGTACAATAACAATGCAACACATGGCCCATTCGGCTTGTTTGGTTGCTACAAGCAATTGAACTGAAGGGCTCATCCAGCACTTTTGTAAAAGAAGCCAGTTTCGGCTTTGCCTGCAGGGCAAGAGCTCATTTCAGATTTCCACAAACCTTTGCATAAAAAGATGCCTCCTTTTCATTTAATGAAGAGCAGTAAAAAAATATGAAATGCCAAGAAAAAGCAACCGGCAAAAAAAAAGTACTCTCGGGCCAGAGCTGTAAATTGAACCTGAGGAAGACCTGCTCGGGAGATGATGTAAGGTTGCTCTGACCTGATGACCTGGTCCATCTGAGTGAGCTTGGCAGCCATGGCAGGGTGGTCCGGCCCAAAGCGGTGCCCACAGTGGTCCACCCCGAGGAAGTGTGCGATCAGTACGTCCCAGTCACCGCCCTCCACTGGAGAGGAGAGACATGAGGCAAATCATCAGCACACAGCAGGCAAACAACATTTTGCAAAGCCAACTGTGTTCTGTTGCCTGGTAGCACTCCACAGGTTCAGTCTGATTTAACAACAAAGAGCAGATTGAGAAAGTGCTCTTGTAAGATAACATAAGATCACTTTATTAGTCATATATAATTTCTTGCATTAGGAATTTGTCTTTTCGCAGACCCCAGCTTGCTCTCCATGAGACACACAGACAGGGAGAGAAGCTAGGGGTCAGAGCACAGGGTCAGACATTTATACGGCACCCCTGGAGCATTTAGGGTTAAGGGCCTTGCTCAGGGGCCCAACGGAGTAGGATTCCTCGGCCGGCCGCAAGATTTGAACTGGCAACCTTCCAGCCACAGGCGCAGATCGGCCCATAATGCACAATTCTACTGATATCAGAATCCATAAACAGGAAAGAATCATACTAGTGCACTCTTACTGTCTATGCATGTGTGCAATGGCATCACTGGCTATGCAGAGACAATTAACGTACTGCAATCACAGGAGCTCTAGAAGCTAATGCTAGGATGATCTAATTCAGTCCTGTAGGTTTTCCTGCATCCCTACATTCCAGCTCAGCGATTAGAGCCCATGCTGACCTAATTACTGGCCTAAGGGGAGATAGTTGATAGCTCTTCTCATCTCCGTGCATCTGAACAAAACTGGACCGGAGCCCCTCTGGACCGGACTTTGGTACCTCTGAGCTAATGTACTGGTTGTACGCGATCACTGTACTGTGAGAGTGGCAGGAGGAGTGCACTGACTGGTGGGGTAGAGATGCTGTAGGATGCCATTGTCCACGGTGTGCAGGTCCTTGACGTTGAAGGAGGGGAAAGGCAGGCAGCGATGGAAGCGCCCCGGGAACAGGCTCTCCCAGGTGTCATCGCCCATGAACACCACGCGCCTACCTGGACAAAGAGAGGGACAAGCGGGCTTCACCAAGAGGGCACCAGTCCCGGAGGACTGCGGCACGCACACCCCGGAGATGGGTACAAAAACCTAGATTTTCACTTCTGGGAAAAGTGGAAGCTGGGAGCATAGTATCTCCTCGATAGCATCTTCATAGTGCATTATATTATTGACACACTGAGCTTCTCCAGTCTTTCCAGGGATCCAGTGCCAGGCAAGATTTCCAGTTTCCAGTCTTGATGAAAACACAATTTTTAAGTGAAGTCTATGGCGTTCCATGCGGTCAGCTTCCTCACCATGACCTTCCTTCACACTAACCCCCCTATGTAATACTGCAAGCATCACAACAATACCAAGAGGACTGAATGCACTGCCAATGTACAAACAGGATAAACTGTGCTTTAAGAGCAGCTGCCAACCCTGCCAGGCAGCAGACACTCCTGGCATCTGTGTTGCACTGCGGCATCCTACACCATCAGCAGCTACATCACCCTGAAGCACGATCTTGCCAGACTAACTGAAACTAAGGGAGGCTACAGCCTAGTCAGTACTGAAGGGGAGAACTCGAAGCAGAACTCTTTGGCTTTTCTCTTGAAAGGAGGCGCCTTGGAAAAACCACAGTCCTGAAGACTTGTGTCCACCCACGTCCCAGCTGTGTGCCAGCCCTGTGCCCAGGATGCTGAACCAGTCTTAGCTAAAATCTTTCCCTCCAGTTCAACTGGCTAAGTCATTTTTCACTAGTTCACCCAACCGATTTGCTGTTAAGTGAACTGCTAATGCAAAATAAGTGAAATCTACCATCCTAATGTGGGACGTGAGAAAAGTGCTGACATGCAGCATCGAATGAACACAGCCTCCCCCAACAGGCACATGGGGACCCTGTGGGATGAAAAGCATGAAGTAAACAGCAGGTGGAGCCATTATTTCACATCCTCTATGCACAAGGCTGTTCCCTCACTAATTTTAATTCGGGCAACATCATAGGCTGGCCAGGCTGAGCAAGCCTAAAGTAAATTCTGGGTTAATATCCATGCTCTCACAAATCGGTCTATATAATCACCCCTCGTTAGGTAGTGATTTCACTCACTGGACACCTCCTGCAGCACAGTGTCCTTAGTCATTGGGACGCTGGTTTGGAAATGCTGGTCTCCCATCCCAACCCCATACTGACCAGACCCACCCTCGCTCAGCTTCTGCAACCTGATAAGATTAGGCTCCATTGTTTGCTCTCCCTCTACACACCATTCTGCCCCAGCTGGTGGATGAGGTTATCTTCCAGGATGGCGCTGGAGGCGAAGTTGTTGCCCACGTCCACGAAGGTGGGCAGGGAGCCGGTGGTGAAGCCCTTGATCCTCTGCATGGTGGTGGTGGGGGGGTCGGCCCTGAAGGGGTACAGCCGGGCGTGAGCCGGCCGCGCGGCCGCCAGCTCGCTCAGCACGCCCAGCTTGTTCTCGCAGGGCCGGGGGGCCGCCCGGCGGGGGTCGTGGCGGGCGAACGCGAAGGAGAGCGCGTCCAGCACGAGGAGCACCGCCCTGCGGAAGCGCGGCGCCCCCTCGCAGAAGCCCCCGCGGGGGGCTCCCGGGGAGAGCGCGTCCGCGCAGGAGCTGCTCCGGCTCACCTCCACCCTCACCAGCAGGAAGCCCCCCAGAAACAGGGCGATGCCCACGCAGAAGAGCGCGCACACCCAGAGCAGGAGAGCCAGCACGGGTGCCCTCCTCATCCTGCGGGAAGAGGGGGGGGATTTTCAGTCTCAGGCGGGTTGGGAGGTCCTGCCTGCGGCTCCGCAAAAAATCATCAAAGATTCACCCTGGGGGAGGGACAGAGAGGTGGGGGGGGGTGGGGTCACGCGTTTTATTTTTGAGTGCTGTCAACAAGGTCTTAGAATATTAACAGTGAATCTTGCAGACTGGAGTATTTCCCAAACGGCAACGCACCTTACTCAGACTGGAGGAGGAGGAGGAGGATAAAGAGCTGGCCCTCGCCTTTGGAGCCCAGGCTGATTCATATTTGCCCACCTACATCTTTCTTTCCGTCAGATTTAAGGCTACCTGCGATTAACGTGGCTTAAATAAACGACGGAAGCCACAAATTAGACAGAACCGAGATTGTTTCAAAGCTTCTATTTGGGAAGTAACTAGATATGACGGATCTCAGATGGCGGTCAACCCACCTTGTCAATCAGCCGATAACCACATCAATAAATAATAAAAATAATAAAAAAACTTTATTTTATATAGCACCTTTAAAGGTGGCTTCTCAAATACACTAATAATTGAGTACCCTCTGGGTGACACATGGCAGCCATTTTGCAGCAGATGCCTCTTCACTGATTTTTTTATGGGGACATCATAGACTGGCCAGACTGATCTGAGAAATTCTGGGTTAAGATCCATGCTCTCACAAACCAGTCTATATAATCACCAGTGGTTAGGTAGTGATTTTACTCACAGAACACCTCCTGTAGCACAGTGTCCTTAGTCACTGGGAAACGCTGGTCCCCAACCCCGTGCTGACCAGACATATCCTTGCTCAGCTTCTGAAATCTGATAAGGTTTGGCTACAAAGACGGTAACTCTGTTTGATCATGTAAAACTCAAATTCTTGTTCTATTTGATCATTCTTTCATACTTCTGCGCGAAACATTTAATGTATTTAAATTGCCACAGTTAAGACTCTGTGCTTCTGATAGCCACAAGAAAAAATGAGCTCTTTTTTAACATCGCAGCTTTATATTAACTGTTTATGTGTTGATGAATGTCAAATGAAGAAATTGCACTCTACAGAATCGGGTACAACAACTGCTTCGTCTGTTAGTACTAAAATATTACTTGTATCTGAAAACGGGGGAAAAAACTGCTTAAACCACCGAGCTACAAAGCTCAACCACGTATTTGTTCACTTACAAGACATAACGCATTCATAAAGAAATAAGCGTGTTTTATTAACTCCTGTTGACCACACAAAATGCTGAACTATTGCACAACAGCATCAACTGGACAGATATAAGAATAATGATCCCAGGTTAAAAAAAATCAAACTACAGTAGATCCAACCCAAAAATACACAACCTATCCTGGGCATACCAAAATCTTTGAAATAGAAAATCTTGCTATTTTCTTTTGCTCTCTTTATCTTTACCTTACCTGTAGCTTTGGAATCTATTCAGCCCACCCGCCTTCAAACTGACCTTGCAGGTATGCCTCCTTCCCAAAACAATCCCTCCTTCGCCCTCGTTCAGGGTCAGTCGTACACCTTCATAAACCCGGCCCCTGTAGAAAAGATAGGGAATCAGGTAACTCTGCCCAGCCTCCCGCCCCACCTCCCTTCATTCACTCAGACACACGGAGAAAGCGTGTACCGGCTAACCCTTCCGATTCAGGAAGTACCACGCAGAAGAACAACAAACGTACCAACTGACGTCACACACGGATGCTGCTTGCTGGGAGCGACAGATATGAACTCTGCCACCTAGTGTCGCGGAAGGGTAATGACAACTTCGGTGTCGGGGGGCACTGTCGATAATTGAAATGGATGCACTTTAAGTGGATAATAATAATAATAATAATAATAATAATAAACTTTATTTTATATAGCGCCTTTAAAGGTGGCTTCTCAAAGCGCTTTACAGGATGACAATAACAATAAGAAGACTACAACAATAAATAAGAAAATTTCACAAGACAGGACACAATTATAATTACAACAATACAACAATAACAATAGAGGAGACCGTGGAAGATGGTATTAAGAAGAGCAGAGGGGTGAAGAATGGAAGCAGTTAAGTAAAGGCTTTTCTGAAAAGGAGGGTTTTGAGTCTGGATTTGAAGGAGTTTAGAGAAGGTTTCGCCGATTTCGAAACACTAGCGATTACAAATTACGATTTGACTGGGAAATAAATACGTTTCTAGCAGCCATATCACCCTGCAACTCACAACTGGCAGCCCACTGAAGCAAAACAGGTGGGAGCCTGGACAGTACCTGGATGGGAGACCTCCTGGGAGAAACTAAGGTTGCTGCTGGGAAGTGGTGTTAGTGCAGCTAGCAGGGGGCGCTCACCCTGCGGTCTATGTGGGTCCTAATGCCCCAGTGATGGGGACACTATACAGTTAAAAGGTGCCGACCACTCTCTGTGGTCATTAAAAATCCCAGGGCATTTCTCAAAAAGAGTAGGAGTGTAACTCTGGTGTCCTAGCCAAATTTCCCATAGGCCTTTACCAATCATGGCCTCCTAATAATTCCCATCTATGAATTGGCTTCATCACCCGGTTCTCCTCCCCACTGATAGCTGATGTGTGGTGAGTGTTCTGGCGCACTATGGCTGCCGTTGCATCATCCAAGTGGGGGTTACAAATTGTTGGTGGTGGAGGGGATCCCCATTACCTGTAAAGCACTTTGAGCGGAGTGTCCAGAAAAGCAATATATAAGTGTAAGCAATTATTATTATTAACAGTATTCACTGCATAAATACCAAGACATCATGTTTCGCTGTCGTTGGCTAAGTGGCATTCAGTTGAAAAAGGATATTTAATACAAATTTTGTATTAAATAAATCAAATATGATACAATAGTATGGAGTGTTCGATAGAACGTTTGTTTTAGCGAGCACATTTATTATAATTCTTCCTTGGAATTACTATAAGGCAAGGATATCAAACAAAATTAATGGAGAACCTTTTATCTCCTAGTTTTTATGCCTTTCAGAGGATTTTAATTAATACATTTATCTAGGTTCCACGAGAGTTGCGTCTGTATGCATCCTTCCCTGTCTTCTCTTAATCATGAATTCAATCTCTACCTATCCATTAATAACCTAATTATGCCTCTTAAGGTCTTGTGCAGCTAACAAAGCTGCACAGCTTCATTTGTATCAGAAATATACCACAAACTGTTTCACCTTAATTTATTTTTAATAATAAAAAATGTTGAGACATTACATAATATATAAGCTTCAGAAACAACACCAGCACAATGCCCTTTGTTTGGTCTCTTGGAGGCACTGCTCACCATGGACCTCTGCACAGCTGCAGGGTGTTGGGATTTTCATTAGGGGCGGAGTGGTGGCTCTGAGGCTAAGGATCTGTGCCTGTGGCTGGAAGGTTGCCGGTTTGTATCCCGCGGCCGGCAGAGGAATCCTACTCTGTTGGGCCCATGAGCAAGGCCCTTAACCCCAACTGCTCCAGGGGCGCCGTATAAATGTCTGACCCTGTGCTCTGACCCCCAGCTTCTCTCCCTGTCTGTGTGTCTCATGGAGAGCAAGCTGGGATATGTGAAAAGACAAATTCCTAATACAAGCTATTGTATATGGCCAATAAAATGATCTTAACTTATTAAAAACATCTCTAAACTACCTGGGCGCACTGTTCCATGCATTTAGGAACTGATCTTAGGGTAACCCATAGAAAGATGCCGGAATGTGGCTTTCTAGGACCAGGACAGACTGTCTCAGGATTGATGGGCGAGATCACCCCAATCCAAATCAGAGGTACTGATAAAAATGTGAATCATGTACCAGGGATAATTTGGCATTACCCTACAAAAATACCAGGATTTCAAAATAAGAAATAAAGTCTCTAAAGGGTATTCGATAATGGTGTCATTTCTTAGAATCATACAGCAGTTACTCATTTTGTTACATCTATTTAATAACAGGCTGCACTTCAGGGGGTTAGTTTTGACTCAAGCACTACAGGAAATTAAGTGCTGTTACTGCTGTAAACAGCCTGAAGCCATTGCGTTGGGCGATTATACACATCTTGACGTCAGTCAGAACACACACTTCTGCTTAGCCTCATGGCTCGGCAACATTTAACAAGTGCCATATTACCAGCTCCCTGAGAAGCCTAGTGACTGACTGCTCAGTCTCAGTGAACTAGAAAAGATCTTAACATTTACACTCGCTTTACACCAAAGAGCTGGAGCCTATAGTTCAGATCCATTCTTGATTAATGACAAGAGAAAAAAAATCTTAAGTTGCACCTTGGCATCCAATCTCAAAGGGTAGACCAGATCAAAAAGTTGTCAATTATTTACTTCTGCCTCACAGAAGCAATACTGAGCAATTGTAGAGCTTCAGAGACATCTATGGATCACATAAAACCATACCACTGAATTCAATGTATTACAAAAAACTACACAGAACACAAAACCTCACATTAACCGGTTGTTAAGCAGGAAGACCTTTAAATACCATTATCCCCTCTGCTCTCGGATAAGATACAGAGCTGGTATTCCAAAAACAAAACAGAAACAGATACAACATCAAAAAGGACACAATGGTCATGTATTTATTTTTTACTTCTTATTGTGATTACTCCTTATATCATTTTAAAGGTCTTTATTAAAGAGGAGTCTAATCACCTTTAGATCAGAATAACAAAACCTCTTCTGTGATATCGTTCCTTCTTTAATCCCAAGGTTTATGCTCTCAGTCATGAAAGTTACATGGAGTGAAAAGTTCCAGATGAGGAATTTTACACTAAATCAACAAAAAATTGTAAAATTACAAATTCTCCTGCATACAGACTTCAGTACATTAATAATCAAAAAGCAAAGAAGAACAGATTTCTTTTATTTCTCACTGGTGGTATATCCAACCCTACATTATCCCGAGATTTTGTGTATGCCAAGACAGCTATTCTGTCAAAATAATTATTTCAACAAATACAGTTTTTGACAATACCCTCAAGCCTTGAAAGTTAAGCATCACTGCAGTGATTCCATGCAATCAGGAGCCTGAAACAGACTGCTGATGGATTGGGAACAATGCAGTGATGCTTAAGCTCTGATGAAGCAACGGGAAAAAAGATGTGAGCACCACTAGAACTCGTCCCCAGGTAAACTGCATTGCTTAGGCTGTAAAAGATCTTGATCTTGAGATCATGGCATTTAACAATCTAAGCAGGAACTCTGACAGAGCAGCAGTGCTAGAATTTACAACACACCATGTCAGATAATACACATTGACAAACAACTGAGATATGAAACAACTCATTTAAAATAAAAAAAGTGTTGCAATGACTGGGCTCCTATACCTCAAGGCTAATAAGTTCTTCTCTCGGTATAAACTCAAAAGATGAATATGAGAGGACTGAGTGACAAGTTATGGGACTGAGGCTCCGGGTTCCTCTTCTACAGAATGGACGTTGATGAAGCAAGAGATGATGCATTCCTTAGGTTGTAGGATGTTGGTGCTCCAGGATGTGCTGGTCTACTGTGACGAAGACAGGTACTGATGTGCCTCGCTCTGGCTTTTGTCTGATGCCAGTCTCTGTGCATCCTGTGGCTCTGTGTTTTTGCTCTCTGTAGAACCCAAAGGGTGTTTGGACAAGGCGCCATATACACTCATGGCCTGAAAGACAAATGGCAGAATAGCTCAGAATCATTAATTGGTGAGTGTTTGTATGTTGGTATAAATTTTCCAATCATTTGAAACTGTAGCCTGAAAATAAGACAGTCTTGAACAAATAGAAACAAATGTTTGATATATTTTTTCTTACATAAAAGGTACAATTCTATGGATAAAGGTGATGGCTTGGGTTTAAAATAATCTAATATATACTCTGTATTTACATCTTCAATGTCTTTATAGTAAACATAACAGGTGTGATCAGTACACAGGAACATTAGAAAGACTGCAAGCAAGAAGTGCTCATTCGATCCATCTTTACGATTTGATAATTTAGTAGCTACTGTAAGTGAACCAGAAATATAATTTAATGTAGATATCATTTTCATGTAGAGATGCATTTCCTATATAATTTCCCTTTTCGTTTCAAACTGTGACTCTGTGAACATGCTTCACCAGCGGTCTCAGGGTGAAAAAAATCCCCTGGGAAGAAACCACCTAGACCTGCACTTAAAAATATAAATGTAGCAGAAAGAATTAGCAAACCAAAATTGACCTTAAAAAAGTTGATCATGCAGCGCTGTAGAGCAGGGTTATACAATTGTTTATTTATGTGCCCTACAGAAAACCTGCATCATCACATTCAAAAGAGTAATGACAAAACAGCGTGACATGACGTGAGAGATTTAAAAGATGGGACTGTTTGAGAAATGTGGCCAGAACGGTGTGTTTTTAAAGAGAGGCCCGTACCTGTGTGACCATGCTGCTGATATCACCCGTGTTGGAGGGGAGAAGGATGGTGTTGGACTCCTTGGCCAGGTTGGAGAAAGCAGACACATACTGCTCGGCTACACTCAGAGAGGCTGCAGCGCTCCCATTCTGTCAAAGCACACAGAGGTCACACTCCGTTAACACACGGCTAACCCTGCTGCTCCAGCCTACAGGCGGAGCGACAGCAGCCTGTTTTGGCTAAGAAAAACACATAACTTGAGAAAAAAACAAAAAACATCTGCTGATGTTAGGTTACAAATATCTGAAGTATAATTAGTATTCCAAAAAGCACAGTTTTGCTTGTCTCGTATACAACAAGGTGTTAAGCAATCTTTGTCATTCCGTTTTTCAATCAGTCAAGTCTTCACAAAGGACATAAATTGACTTCCTGGGTCTTTTCTTGGATAAGGGGACTTCGGTTGTAAGTTAAATAAAATCTGATTCGGACCATCATGTTTTTTGACGTTCCTACCTGCTGTGTGAGAGCCTCAGAAAGCAGTCGAATGGCTTTGGCCTTGGCCTCTGCTTTGGCTAACAGTCCGTTGGCTTCACCTTGAACAGAAAGATGCATGCGTCATAATTCAAGTTCAAGTTCAAGTTCATTGTCATTACACTCATATACATGGTATATGGTATAAC